CTTGAGGGATTATTTTGTGAAGATTAGGCTGGTCCTAAGTTTCATAGAGTGATTCGTTACACTACTTCTGTGATATTACTACTACTTCTACTTCCTGTTATCTTCTTCATCATCGTCTTTTTCACCAGTAGAAACAGACGGTTGTTGATCACGTGACTCCTGTGATGTGAAAAAAGTGTTTCCATTGATGTTTTGTGAAAAACACCAATTTTGATACGTCTGAAAAACCACCTCATCCTAGTGCAAAAACATTTTGTCGAAAAACGTAATTTTTTTCCGAAATTGACATGTTTCCATTGAACAAATTTATTTTCAAAATTCTAATTTGCGCATTTTCATGGTGAATGGAAACACAACCAGTGAGTTCAGCAGAGTTCACCAACAGGATGAGAATAAATTCAGCTTATTTTCATCAAGCAAAGATACTGAAACTGTATTTACACCTGTGGTTTTCAACGTCAGGGATGAGAACCCATTATGTGTCATAAAACACCAAGTCAGGGGTCTTCAAATGAACTCCAGAAACCAAACAATATGTAACTTTTAGCCCCCCTGACATCTTTTCAGGTTCTAAATAAGAAAAGATATTTGGAAGAACTAAAATGAGTTTGACCTAACTGTTTTGACATTACTCTTAATTTATTTCAACTTTGTTGTTTAACTCAGGATGTTAGAAATGTTTAGTTATTTWGGGAGTCAGACATTAAAGTGCCTGTGACATCAAATTTTAGTAATAAATGCAAAGGAACTTTTGGAAAGACAACATTTAAACATATTACAAAACAACTTTTACGCTGCTGCGATGAACAGTTGTTGAGATATTTGCARGTGAACTAACAGGAAGTGACGTCAAAGGGAAATGTCTGCTTGGAAAGAGTGTTACTAAAATAACTAACAACATAGACTGTAGAGAAGAATAGGAGTTTTTTTTTACTTTGAGTCACTACAGAGAGACGAAGAGTCAGAGTTCAAATTATATTGTTTTAATAAAACATCAGTTTCTTTTCTTTAAGAGTTCCCCTTTGATGTCACTTCCTGCTTCACTTTGGCTGAGTCAAATTCAAAAGAAAACATGACAGTTATGTGACAAAATGGGTAAAATTGTGTGTATTATGCCAACTTTCTTCAATATGTTTTCTTTCACTTTMTGTWTTTSAAGAATATGCATGGCACATGCACTTTAAAGGTTTGGACCCAGTGTTTTATAATACAGACTGCACTCAGTTTAAAGTTACTTTTATTCTAAGCAGAGTCAATAATATTCAAACTTTTTAAGCCAGTTTTAAAGAACATAAATGAAGTCTTGATTTGAAGTGGCACAGTTAGGCTCTGACAACTGAAACTGATTCTATCCCCAACTTGAACTTTTTAAACAAATATTAATGAGTATRTGATTTATACTGTATTTCTAACACTTCTGTTCTGAAGTGTTTTAATACTTCAGCGTCACGGAGCGGCACCAGAACCATCAGTGGATTCAGACCAGAGGCTGACCTGCTGATTTACTGTGTCAGCCATTTTTCTTTCAGCCTCCTTCAGCGTCGGTTTGATTGACAGGAAGGACAGATGCTGCTCCAGAACCAGGTAACCTGATCCACAGAGCCCATCTGGTCAAAGCTCTGTTGAATTCACACTTTATACACACACATACACACCTACACATGCACACACACACACATGACTCACATACGTTGAAAGTAAAAATAAAAACAGAGACGTCTGAAGTGGGATAAACACTGAGCTTCAGATATAAAGAAAGGTTAGCTTCGCTCAACTATCGCCTGCCTTAAAAATATTCTTAAACTCCATCTGATGCTCAGAAAGTTGGAATGACTCTCAGCTACTACCACACTGACCTACAGRTCAGTTTGTGTAACACTGACAGCTACAGACAGGTTTGTGTTGTTTACTGCTGTTTTAGAAATAACTTTAACATCTTCAGGTTTACAGAGAGGAGCTGAGCTGCTGTTTCTCATATAAAGTGATTCAGTTCAAAACAGTCCTGTAATCATATCTGCAACACTTCAGGGTTTGGAAACAAAAATAAAATGATGTATTTATTTTACAAAGATACGCTAAAATAGAATTAGTTGGTTTCTTTGCTTTAAAGTCGGGATTCAGACTGTTTGACCTGAGTTACTCTCACAGTTGTAAGTCTGTTTACAGACAATAAACAACACCTGAGGGCTGTTTCAGGATTTTCCAGATATCCTGTGTGAATTAAGCCTCAATTTGGTTTCACCAAAGCAGTGGTGCGTAAGTTACCATGGTGATTTATTCTGTACAGCTAGCCAGCTCCAGACCAGGCTAACAGACAGGCTAAAAGATGAGGCTAATAGACCAGGCTAACAGACCAGGCTAACAGACCAGGCTAAAAGATGAGGTTAACAGACAGGCTAACAGACCAGGCTAACAGACCAGGCTAACAGACCAGGCTAACAGACCAGGCTAACATTTAGCATTTAGGCTCCTACAGCTCATAAAGCTCCATTAAAAGATGTTCTTAATTTGGTGAGAAGTGTGGAGCACTCAGTTTATTCACTGGAGAATCAGTGAATCTGTGATTGATCTCATGGTCTGTTGAAGAATTCTGTGGACGAGGGTTTACCTGGATTACTGACACCTAGCTTCATGTAGCTGCACCTCTTCAGTCTGGTTTGGTCTTTGTCAAACAGATGAAGCCAGGATGAACTGATCCAGTTATGTAAAGCCTAGATTTATCTCTGAGCCTGGATTTCTCAATCCTGCTTTTGTGAAATAACCCTCTGGGTTGTTTGTTCTTGTTGTTTGTTCTGATAGCTTGTTCTTGTTTGTTCTTGTTGTTTGTTCTGATAGCTTGTTCTTGTTTGTTCTGATTGCTTGTTCTTGTTGTTTGTTTCGATTGTTTGTTCTTGTTTGTTGTTCTGGTTTGTTCTGATTGTTTGTTCTTGTTGTTTGTTCTTGTTGTTTATTCTGATTGTTCTGATTGCTTGTTGTTGTTGTTTGTTTCGATTGTTTGTTCTTGTTTGTTGTTCTGGTTTGTTCTGATTGTTTATTCTGATTGTTCTGATTGCTTGTTGTTGTTGTTTGTTTCGATTGTTTGTTCTTGTTTGTTGTTCTGGTTTGTTCTGATTGTTTATTCTGATTGTTCTGATTGCTTGTTGTTGTTGTTTGTTTCGATTGTTTGTTCTTGTTTTTTGTTCTGGTTGTTTGTTCTGATTGCTTGTTCTTGTTGTTTATAAAAATATTCTTAGTTTATTTTTTATCAGCCGTATCAGACAGAAAACTAAATGACAGAAGTGTTGACAGAATCTGTTGTCTCATGCTTTAGCTTTGCTAACATTTGCGACATGTCCTTTCTGTAGTGGTTTACAGGTTAAATGCTAATCACTAGCTAGTAATTACCGCCTCTAAAGGCCTCTCCACGCAGACCTCTGTGAGGTATTAGCTAAATGTAAGCTAACCAGTTAACAGCTAACCAGTGATTACAAACAGCAGCTCCTGCTCCACACAAAGGTCTCGTCGTGTTTCCGTCTGTTTCCACGCCGACCCGGTCCACAACCTGGCTCGCCCTTCGGTGTTCTGGCATTTCAAAGCGGTAATTATCACAAACCGGTCGGCGCTTCCTGCTTCCAGGCCAAACGGGGCCTTCGGTGAACATCGGAGACCGGGTCCTGCGAGTCAGAGAAGGGTGTGTCCGGCCGACTGCTGAGCACTTTGTTTTGGATAATGATAGATCTGAGCAACGTTCACCTCTTAACACTCACTCAGTCATTTCATTTCATCACCTCCTCCTTCCTCTCCATCAGCCCTCCAGTCCTCCTCCTCCTCCTCCTTGTTTACCACAAACATTTCAAGCAAATATAATAACAGTGCAACAATCTGTTGCTAGGCGACAATTATAGAAACAATGGTGCTTGGTGGCAAAGACTCAGGCTGCTGGAGTGTGTGTGTGTGTGTGTGTGTGTGTGTGTGTGTGTGTGTGTGTTAATCGACCCACCTTGTGCTCTTGTTGAATGCAGATTTTTCATCTTTTTAATGTTTTTGTTCCAATCTGCAGCGCTGTTTGTTCCTAAACTGATGGTAATCAAAACAAAAGAAAGAGAAAAACAGAACCATGAAAGAAAAATCAAAACAGAAAATGAGTCTGAAGTCTGAAAATTGATGTTTTACTTCAGAAGATCCAAACTTTTAGTCTCCAGTTGTTGAAACAAACAACCAGACGGAGGAAACTGCCTGATCTGCTGCTGCCTGATAAGATTATTTCAAAAATGACCACAAATTCACTAAAAATGAAAACTTTTGTTTACAGCAGCAGAACAGGAAAAAAGTGGAAAAACTAGTAAAAAAAGGATTTTTGCAGCATCTGGCAAAGCTGATGGCAGCAGGTCAAAGGTAAAGTAGAGAGCTTCTTAATTTACAGACCACACACACACACACACACACACACACACACA